GAAACAAAATTAGAGAATTGTTTTTATTAAATAATTGATTCATAAGTGTTATTGTAACAATCTATTATTTTTTCTTCCTTATTGCTCGAGCAATGGGATATTTCCTCGAGCGGTTTTGCAGATCATCAAGTACTTTTGCCGGTGTGAATTTCTAGGAGTTTGCATTCTGCGCTTGAGTGGAAGTTTCATCGCTTGAGCGGTCTTATGTCTCTGACGCTTGAGCGCAAGATTCGTCGCTTAAGCAGTCTGTTCGGGATAAGTATTTTAAAAAGTCACTTTTTGATCAAATTTAGATCATTTCTCTCTCTCTCTCTCTCTCTCTCTCATTCCTCCACTTCCAAAAGTCCCAAGCTTTCAAGTTTGGATTTCATCTCCTTTTACTTAAAATCTCTCTCATTCCTCCACTTCCAAAAGTCCCAAGCTTTCAAGTTTGGATTTCATCTCCTTTTACTTAAAATCTCTCTCATTCCTCCACTTCCAAAAGTCCCAAGCTTTCAAGTTTGGATTTCATCTCCTTTTACTTAAAATCTCTCTCATTCCTCCACTTCCAAAAGTCCCAAGCTTTCAAGTTTGGATTTCATCTCCTTTTACTTAAAATCTCTCTCATTCCTCCACTTCCAAAAGTCCCAAGCTTTCAAGTTTGGATTTCATCTCCTTTTACTTAAAATCTCTCTCATTCCTCCACTTCCAAAAGTCCCAAGCTTTCAAGTTTGGATTTCATCTCCTTTTACTTAAAATCTCTCTCATTCCTCCACTTCCAAAAGTCCCAAGCTTTCAAGTTTGGATTTCATCTCCTTTTACTTAAAATCTCTCTCATTCCTCCACTTCCAAAAGTCCCAAGCTTTCAAGTTTGGATTTCATCTCCTTTTACTTAAAATCTCTCTCATTCCTCCACTTCCAAAAGTCCCAAGCTTTCAAGTTTGGATTTCATCTCCTTTTACTTAAAATCTCTCTCATTCCTCCACTTCCAAAAGTCCCAAGCTTTCAAGTTTGGATTTCATCTCCTTTTACTTAAAATCTCTCTCATTCCTCCACTTCCAAAAGTCCCAAGCTTTCAAGTTTGGATTTCATCTCCTTTTACTTAAAATCTCTCTCATTCCTCCACTTCCAAAAGTCCCAAGCTTTCAAGTTTGGATTTCATCTCCTTTTACTTAAAATCTCTCTCATTCCTCCACTTCCAAAAGTCCCAAGCTTTCAAGTTTGGATTTCATCTCCTTTTACTTAAAATCTCTCTCATTCCTCCACTTCCAAAAGTCCCAAGCTTTCAAGTTTGGATTTCATCTCCTTTTACTTAAAATCTCTCTCATTCCTCCACTTCCAAAAGTCCCAAGCTTTCAAGTTTGGATTTCATCTCCTTTTACTTAAAATCTCTCTCATTCCTCCACTTCCAAAAGTCCCAAGCTTTCAAGTTTGGATTTCATCTCCTTTTACTTAAAATCTCTCTCATTCCTCCACTTCCAAAAGTCCCAAGCTTTCAAGTTTGGATTTCATCTCCTTTTACTTAAAATCTCTCTCATTCCTCCACTTCCAAAAGTCCCAAGCTTTCAAGTTTGGATTTCATCTCCTTTTACTTAAAATCTCTCTCATTCCTCCACTTCCAAAAGTCCCAAGCTTTCAAGTTTGGATTTCATCTCCTTTTACTTAAAATCTCTCTCATTCCTCCACTTCCAAAAGTCCCAAGCTTTCAAGTTTGGATTTCATCTCCTTTTACTTAAAATCTCTCTCATTCCTCCACTTCCAAAAGTCCCAAGCTTTCAAGTTTGGATTTCATCTCCTTTTACTTAAAATCTCTCTCATTCCTCCACTTCCAAAAGTCCCAAGCTTTCAAGTTTGGATTTCATCTCCTTTTACTTAAAATCTCTCTCATTCCTCCACTTCCAAAAGTCCCAAGCTTTCAAGTTTGGATTTCATCTCCTTTTACTTAAAATCTCTCTCATTCCTCCACTTCCAAAAGTCCCAAGCTTTCAAGTTTGGATTTCATCTCCTTTTACTTAAAATCTCTCTCATTCCTCCACTTCCAAAAGTCCCAAGCTTTCAAGTTTGGATTTCATCTCCTTTTACTTAAAATCTCTCTCATTCCTCCACTTCCAAAAGTCCCAAGCTTTCAAGTTTGGATTTCATCTCCTTTTACTTAAAATCTCTCTCATTCCTCCACTTCCAAAAGTCCCAAGCTTTCAAGTTTGGATTTCATCTCCTTTTACTTAAAATCTCTCTCATTCCTCCACTTCCAAAAGTCCCAAGCTTTCAAGTTTGGATTTCATCTCCTTTTACTTAAAATCTCTCTCATTCCTCCACTTCCAAAAGTCCCAAGCTTTCAAGTTTGGATTTCATCTCCTTTTACTTAAAATCTCTCTCATTCCTCCACTTCCAAAAGTCCCAAGCTTTCAAGTTTGGATTTCATCTCCTTTTACTTAAAATCTCTCTCATTCCTCCACTTCCAAAAGTCCCAAGCTTTCAAGTTTGGATTTCATCTCCTTTTACTTAAAATCTCTCTCATTCCTCCACTTCCAAAAGTCCCAAGCTTTCAAGTTTGGATTTCATCTCCTTTTACTTAAAATCTCTCTCATTCCTCCACTTCCAAAAGTCCCAAGCTTTCAAGTTTGGATTTCATCTCCTTTTACTTAAAATCTCTCTCATTCCTCCACTTCCAAAAGTCCCAAGCTTTCAAGTTTGGATTTCATCTCCTTTTACTTAAAATCTCTCTCATTCCTCCACTTCCAAAAGTCCCAAGCTTTCAAGTTTGGATTTCATCTCCTTTTACTTAAAATCTCTCTCATTCCTCCACTTCCAAAAGTCCCAAGCTTTCAAGTTTGGATTTCATCTCCTTTTACTTAAAATCTCTCTCATTCCTCCACTTCCAAAAGTCCCAAGCTTTCAAGTTTGGATTTCATCTCCTTTTACTTAAAATCTCTCTCATTCCTCCACTTCCAAAAGTCCCAAGCTTTCAAGTTTGGATTTCATCTCCTTTTACTTAAAATCTCTCTCATTCCTCCACTTCCAAAAGTCCCAAGCTTTCAAGTTTGGATTTCATCTCCTTTTACTTAAAATCTCTCTCATTCCTCCACTTCCAAAAGTCCCAAGCTTTCAAGTTTGGATTTCATCTCCTTTTACTTAAAATCTCTCTCATTCCTCCACTTCCAAAAGTCCCAAGCTTTCAAGTTTGGATTTCATCTCCTTTTACTTAAAATCTCTCTCATTCCTCCACTTCCAAAAGTCCCAAGCTTTCAAGTTTGGATTTCATCTCCTTTTACTTAAAATCTCTCTCATTCCTCCACTTCCAAAAGTCCCAAGCTTTCAAGTTTGGATTTCATCTCCTTTTACTTAAAATCTCTCTCATTCCTCCACTTCCAAAAGTCCCAAGCTTTCAAGTTTGGATTTCATCTCCTTTTACTTAAAATCTCTCTCATTCCTCCACTTCCAAAAGTCCCAAGCTTTCAAGTTTGGATTTCATCTCCTTTTACTTAAAATCTCTCTCATTCCTCCACTTCCAAAAGTCCCAAGCTTTCAAGTTTGGATTTCATCTCCTTTTACTTAAAATCTCTCTCATTCCTCCACTTCCAAAAGTCCCAAGCTTTCAAGTTTGGATTTCATCTCCTTTTACTTAAAATCTCTCTCATTCCTCCACTTCCAAAAGTCCCAAGCTTTCAAGTTTGGATTTCATCTCCTTTTACTTAAAATCTCTCTCATTCCTCCACTTCCAAAAGTCCCAAGCTTTCAAGTTTGGATTTCATCTCCTTTTACTTAAAATCTCTCTCATTCCTCCACTTCCAAAAGTCCCAAGCTTTCAAGTTTGGATTTCATCTCCTTTTACTTAAAATCTCTCTCATTCCTCCACTTCCAAAAGTCCCAAGCTTTCAAGTTTGGATTTCATCTCCTTTTACTTAAAATCTCTCTCATTCCTCCACTTCCAAAAGTCCCAAGCTTTCAAGTTTGGATTTCTCTCTCTCTCTCTCTCTCTCTCTCTCATTCCTCCACTTCCAAAAGTCCCAAGCTTTCAAGTTTGGATTTCATCTCCTTTTACTTAAAATCTCTCTCATTCCTCCACTTCCAAAAGTCCCAAGCTTTCAAGTTTGGATTTCATCTCCTTTTACTTAAAATCTCACCCTAAGTCTATATACCAAAACGTAGAGGAGAGCTATTAAGTAATCTCATGTTTTCGTCAAAGTTGGACTTTTGGGCTTTCTCCTCTTCTTGCTAGAAGTAGGGATTTCTTTACTCTTTTTCAATACTTCTTTATAGATAGACATGTAGTATATTTTTATTACATATTTATTACATAAAAAGCATGATTTAGTTATGTGATTTCAAAATCATGAAAAAAGAGTTTTTGGGTTTGAGCTTTAGAAAGTGAAATTGTATTTCTTTTGGGGATTTTGATGTATTAGAAGTTAGATTATCTTGTTTATGTTAGGAATAGAGAAAAATCCTAATTTTTATTATTAAAGGCTTAATGGATTGAAAAGGGATAAAGTTGAATAATAAATATTAAGGTGAATTGCTAAAATGTTGTTAACCGAGATGTTGGGATTATTTGATCAACATAAGGTGAGTTGGGTTATGGTTTTATTATCTATGGAGTTGAGTTTGTCAAAAGGAGAAAAAAAAAAAAAGGATTTTTGGAACATTGTGAATTGAAAAATAACGGATTTAAATTTTGGAAAGAAATAAAATCAAAACTCTTTTATAAATTGATAAATGAACGGGATTAATCTTCGGACATATCATATGTTGTTGTTGGGCTTAATGTGTCATGAGAAGTGAGTTATTATATTAAGCATATTGAATACTTGTGTTTAGAGGTTTTGTCTTTGGTCATTGGTGGATGATGATATTGTTGTGTTGAGTAGATTATGTGTATATAGTACAATTGTGTTATTTGGGTGTTTAGCTTGTTTTGATGGTTGATAAGGTAAACGTACTGAGAATGAGAGGTACCATTACCTTCTAGTTAGCGCATGGAGAATTGGCCGCACTTAGAATGATAGGTATTATTACTTTCTAGCTAGTGTCTAGATAAATTGGCAAAGATACCATTACCTTCCAGCTTGCATCTAGTAAATTGACATTCGTTATGGAAAAATGTGTTTCCTTAACTTACCGTGCTTAAGACAGGTAGAGTATTATTTCGTTTCTCATTTGTCTTGGTGTGTCCATGTACATCATGTGTGCTAGTGGTTATAATTAGATGAGTCCGAGTTATCTTATGTGATAGTGTAGTGGTCGTTGCACCCGTGTTATTTTAATATTCGTGTTTGGATGCATGTATATGTGCATAGGTGTATTGAATGAATTGTTGAAAGTGTTTCTCTACCATAAGCTCAAGGT